CAAGTTACTTGAGGAACCATCTCACCCCAATGGGACAGGCCCACTTCACCGGTGCCAGCAGAGGAGGCATGTTGCAGACTCTGTCAGTCAGGGAATACCAGCTGGCAAGGCCAGGAGAAGAGCCTTCTCTGCTGTGGCTCCTGCCCTTTGGATCCTCTTGCCCCCTGAGGTGAGATTGACTCCCATCCTCCTGACCTTCTGCAAGATCCTGGAGATCTGGTTTTGCCAGTAAGCCTGGGGCCCCAATGGAGAATTATCACACTGGAGGTGGTGGATGGGACAATAGTACACCCCACCTCCTCCCTTGCGCATCTGCTTCCTCTCCTCCCACCTTTTCATCATATTTTTTATTTTTATTTTTAATGTGTATGTGTGTGTGTGTGTGTTTGCCGTTTTTAATCTTGTAAGCTTCCCAGAGTCATCTTGTGGCAAGATGGACATTAAACCAATTTAATAAACAAACAAATACATAAACAAACATCATTTTAAAAGGTTTCCCTATAGCACCTTCGTTTTCTCTCATATTCATGAGTTAAAATGGCATCCTTAATGATGGGGAAAGACTGAACCTTACACTGGTCAGGGAAAATACATTTACTCTAAATTAGTTTCAAAGCTAAGGCCAGATAAAATGCACCAGATCAAGATTGTCAAGTCAGACTCCTGGCAATTGCCCAGACAAGTTCCTTCTTCTTTCTCTTTTCTTTCTTTTCTTTTTCTTTTTTTGACAAAGTTTTAGAAGTGGTTTGCCCTTGCCTTCTGTTTCATTTTATGAGTTAAATGTACATGCCATTTATCTCACTCAGAAAAGCAACTCTTCTTAGTTTTCAGAGAACAGCTGATCCAAGCTGGCAACTGGTAGTTAAGATAGGGCTACAATTCATGGTCACCCAGTTTCAGGGCCAGTGCTTTAAAACCAGTGTTCCCCGTTCCCAACCATTTGGGCACCAGGGACCGGATCCGTGGAGAAAGGTTTTTCCACAGATTGGAGGGGGTGTGGTTTTGCCTGCTGCCTGCATCCTGCGGATGGAACTTTGGTTGTTTGTGTGGCCCGGTTGCTGGCAGGGGGTTGGGGACCCCTGCTTTAAAACTACTGCAGCAAACTGGCTCTCATAATCTTAGGGTACTGAAACTAGACGATGATCTAGCTGAACTGTTATGAATTATGTTTGAGAAATCATTTTGAAGTGTCGGATGGCTCAAGGAGAACATGTTTTCCCTGTCTTCAAAGTGTGGGTGGCAGAGAGATACTGGAGGGCAGGAAAACAGTCTGTTGGATATTGCCAGACAGATCTTATTTTTTTTTTTCTTCTTCTTCTTCTTCTTCTTCTTCTTCTTCTTCTTCTTCTTCTTCTTCTTCTTCTTCTTCTTCTTCTTCTTCTTCTTCTTCTTCTTCTTCTTCTTCTTCTTCTTCTTCTTCTTCTTCTTCTTCTTCGTCTACTCCTCCTCCTCCTCCTCCTCCTCCTCCTCCTCCTTCTTCTTCTTCTTCTTCTTCTTCTTGGTTAGCTAAATTCCCTACATGATGGAAATGCTACAAAGGTAATTCTCAACTTACGACCACAACTGAACCCAAAATTTATGTTGCTAAGCAAGACAGTTATTAAGACAGTTTTGCCCCATTTTATGATCTTTTTTGCCATGGTTATTAAGTGAATCATTGCAGTTGTTAACTTAGTAACACAGTTGTTAAGTGAATCTGGCTTCCACATTGACTTTGCTTGTCATAAAGTCGCACAAGGTGATCACATAATAATAATAGTAATAGAGTTGGTCTTCTAGTCCAACCCCCTGCTCAGGCAGGAAACCCTATACCATTTCAGACAAATGGCTGTCCAGTCTCATCTTAAAAACTTCCAGTGTTGGAGCATTCACAACTTCTGGAGGCAGGTTGTTCCACTGATTAATTGTTCTAACTGTCAGAAAATTTCTTCTTAGTTCTAGGTTGCTTCTCTCTTTCGTTAGTTTCCATCTATTGCTTCTTGTCCTGCCTTCAGGTGCTTTGGAGAATAGCTTGACTCCCTCTTCTTTGTGGCAGCCCCTGAGATATTGGAACATTGCTATCATGTCCCCCCTCGTCCTTCTCTTCATTAAACTAGACATACCCAATTCCAGCAACCGTTCTTTATCTTGGTATTGTATCTTGGTATCCTTGGTATAGATCTTGGTATAGTAATTAATTAGAAACCAAAGTGGGATGTGACTGCAAAAAGAGGCATGAATTTTCTTGGAAGATTTTTAAAAATCCCTAACCTAAAATCCAGCAGTGAACCAATTGCCCAGAAAAGTAGTAGATTCAAGCAAAGATTAGAAATCCATCTGTCTCAAATATTTTGGATTCTTGTACTCAGCAGAGTGTTAGACTCTGTGGCCTCAATGACCTATTCCAACTCCAGAATTCTCTGACTAGTTATGAGGTCTTATACATATCTTCCTCCTTTCTAAACTCACCCTAAACACCAGTAAAATAAGGTGGGTTTCCTGGGAGTATGGAGAGGAAATCTCTGTGAAAGACCAACAAACTAAATGAGATGCCCATCACAGGATTATCCCTCTTTCTTGCAAATTCTATCTTTATTTTAACTTTTAGCCTCCAGTAGTGAGACCTGTGTAAGGTGAAGATAATGTTAAGCGTTACTATTTGAGTATGTTCTCATAACTGGGGAAAAAAACTTTTGCTTTTTTTTAATTAACATAAGGAGTTGTGAAAATGTTATTGCTCAAGGATGAGTCCTTCGTTGGGTTGCCAATCAGAGGATAATGAGTCAGAGCAGAGATAAGTTTTCAACTTCTATATAAACTGAGGATGGTTGAAACCCAGAAACATTCAAAGGGAATAAATATTTTATACAACTGGAAGTGTCTGCAGTGATTTTAACTATGACAGGTCTCTCAGTTTGGGTGTTCCTGCTTCTCACCTGCAACTTTTCTGCTTTTGCCGTTCCAGTGAATTCACCAGTCAGTGATGCTGACATGAATTTAGTGAAGGTAAATATACTCAAAATTGCTGAAATGTTAGCTGTTCTCTAATGATACTGAAGTCTAATTTTAACTTTTCTCTCCTCAACTAATTTCCCCCCCATTGATATCATATTTACCTTTGTGTCTTGTGAGATGTGTCTCATCTTTTTACACATACTTTGTTCATTAATTTAATTACTTAACGGATTAGGGTTCATTTCTGCAAAACAGACTATCCTCCTTAAATTTGCACCATCATTAAAAAAGCTAAATCTCTTTAGGAGTTGTTTTTTTTTAAGTGAACTTTATTTTTTGGACCTTTAGCCTTCAAATTTATGGGAAGAATATTCATCCATTTCCCCAAAACCATAGAATGATTTTTCGATATGCTGGATATTATTTTATGTTATTAATGATCATATGTATTACTAGAAAGAATCTGAGAACCCTAGAATTCCATCAATTTTTCCCTCGCTTAGTTTCTTTTCATTTTAGCTTATTTTTTTAAAATTCAGAGTAACTTTACTTTTGTTTCCTAACAGAAATACTTAAAAAACTTCTACCAATCCAACGATGAGAGAAGCCCTAAGATCCGTATGGATGAAAATGAAATATTGACTAAAAATCTCAAAAAAATGCAAGAATTTTTTGGCCTGAATGTGACTGGAAAGGCTGACCTGAAAACTTTGGCAATGATGAAGAAGCCCAGGTGTGGCGTACCTGACTTGGGGTCATTTGTTCTTACAGATGGCAATCCTAAATGGGAGAAAACCAGTATTACCTACAGGTAAAAGGATTGAGGTACTTTTTTTTAGCAGGTATCAGCTTAACATACAAGTAGGGGTATCGGGGGAGGAGGATAAGACAAAAAATCAAAACCGCAATCACATGATTGAAGCCACACCCCTTTTAAGTGTATGTCACATGATTGTGTCTGCCATCTTCCCTTTTTTGAGCCTCCTTCCAGCAGATGCCCCTGCATCAATAAAAAATATGAGCTTTGATTGATCTTGACATCCAGTCCATTTAGTGAGGAGAAATTTCTATTAATGTTTTCCAAACTTTATTTCATAGCACATTTTGCATTTTCAAGAGCTTATTTAAGACTAGGAGATATTCGGAAGCAGAATTCCTATTTAGTATGTCAGGGATCAGCCTGGCCTCTCTTTAACACACAGTATTTTCTTTCTGAAATAAGGGAATGCTTATCAGTCAAGTAAAAGCTTTAATATCGATTTAGCTGGAAGCAGATATGGGCCATCACATCGAGGAGAATCTCAAAAACAACCTGTGGCTGGAAAAGAGGCAACATTTGCACCAAATCACATCTAAATGCCTTTTAATTTAGTACAGTATTCATTGTTTTTAAAAAAGGAAACCCAAAGAGAAAGTTCAGAGCAGCAAATTAAATCAGGACCCTAAAAGTGAAAAAGAGATCCCTTTCTGCTCACTGGGATCAATTCATTGTTAGTTCTGCCTTTATTATTATTGTTGTTGTTGTTAAATGGAAAGAAGCGTATTGCTTTAAGCCCTTATAAAGAGAAATTAGAAAGTCTTTATTGAATAAGATCAATTTCCATTTGAGCCACTTAGGTCTAATGGCTAAAGCAACAGACTAGAAAGTTGGAAACCATGAATGAGTTCAAATCCTACCTTAGCCATGAAAGCTGGCTAGGTAAATTTGGGCCAGTTATTCTCTCTCAGCACAACTCACCTTGCAGGGTTATTGTTTGGGGAAAGTAGGAGGAGGAAAGTGTGTTTGATATGTTCACCCCCTTGAGTTATTATACAAATAATAAAGGTGGGATATACATAAAATAAATTTTAGATTCAGTAAGAAAGCATTACTTTCTATGTAAACCAATCCTTTCCTGCAGGCTCTGACCGAATTGGGATAACTCTGGAATCTTGGAAAGCTGGTGTGACTCAATATCTCCAATGCTGGTTTAGATAGACCACTCTTGTGGCTGCCTAATAATTTATTCCTGTTTCATTTTAAAGGATTGTAAGCTACACTTCAGATATGCATCCATCTGATACAGATGAAGCCATCAGAAAAGCATTTGAAGTCTGGAGCAATGTGTCACCTCTGACTTTCACAAGAATCTATGATGATGAAGCAGATATCATGATCTCTTTCAACACCAGAGGTAACCACATAGGTTTACCCCTGAGCCGAGTCTGGTTTCAGGAACCACTGTTTAAGCAAAAATTAACTGCCTAACTGAACTCTTTACTTCTTCTACATTTAGACCATGGTGATAATTCTCCTTTTGATGGTCCCGATGGAATCCTGGCACATGCTTTTCAACCAGGCAAAAACATTGGGGGAGATGCTCATTTTGATGAAGAAGAATTTTGGACAAAAGATGGCCCAAGAGGTACATCTAAATCATTCTTGAACTGTAAACATATAGATTATGCAAGGATATAAGCACCTGAGATTTATCTACAGATGCAGCCAGATGAGATGGTAGACCTGGAAATATCTGCTAGTTTCTCCAATATGGGCTACAACCCCCCAAGAACCTGGATGAACATGACTAGGAATTACAATTTTACTTAAACTGTAAAACAGTAGTTATCGCAGGTAGTTGGCAATCATTGAGCAGGCTGAATGGTACAGAAATTAAACCCAGTTCTAATTCAAATCCTGTATGGTTTCCCTTCCATAAAAAGTTTAGCATTTCTCTTCCCATGCCCCCAAGTCTTCAGATTTATCTCCTCAATCCACAGTGCCTTCTGCAGCAACTTTGTTCTGTTTCAAGAAATGGAAATGAAGTTTACAAACAAAAACGTTTGTTGCTTTTTTTTGAGACAAATGAAACATGTTTTAATTGCCTATACAGGTCGTGGGAGGGAACCAACCCCTTCCCCTTCCCTGTCAACTATGATTGCTAAATCTTGATGGGACTATTCCTTTTTCTTTACATGCTAAATGTTGAATTTTGTTTATTTTTTTTTTAATCTGAGGAAGGAGTAGATCAGTTATGAATTTCTTATTGCTTTCTACAAAAAGGATTTTCTCTTTCTTTTTTTTTTCTAGGCCGCAACCTGTTTCTTGTTGCTGCTCATGAGTTTGGCCATTCGTTGGGTCTGTCTCATTCCACGGATATTGGGGCCTTGATGTATCCTACCTACTCCTACACAGCGCCAAAATTATTTCGTCTTCCGCAGGATGATATCAATGGCATTCAAGCAATCTATGGTAAGACCAAGAGAAATCAAATCCTAAATTGAATGCAAAAGCCTGCCTATTGCAACTTGACTACTAAATGTAAATGAATATTTGTAAAGCAGTGCAAGCATCACTAACTGCAAAATCCTGTTCATTTAAGTAGGATTTCCAAAAGAAAATTTTCTGTAACTTGTAACTAGCTTATTCTTCCCAGTTATATTCCTTAAAACAGTGTCATAATTAATTTTATTATAGCTAGAATTTCCCACTATCAGCAAATACACATTGGAATTTGTACTACTCCAAACACTAACATTAAGAAAGCAAATCTTGATACAATTGTTTTTAGTATCTATTTGATAGCTTCCATATCATGTTTTTATTATTATTTAGGAAAAACAGACAGCTCAATACAGCCAACAGGGCCCTCTACACCAGAAGCGTGTTCTGCTAAGACTACTTTTGATGCTGTTACCACCATGCGTGGAGAATATTTGTTCTTTAAAGGCAGGTGAGTTGCATTCTTAAAATAATTCTTAGAGTTTGAGTAATATTTTTCCCAATAAATGGGATACGACCCTTATATTATTTTTATGATATGGAACTCCATCTAAATTTTCCCTCTTTGAAAAGATGCCACATTTGGTAATATGCCACTTCTTTTTTACAATTAGGCATTTCTGGCGTAAACATCCTCAGGTGTCCTATGTGGATCTGTATTTCATTTCTCTTTTCTGGCCAACTCTGCCTTCCAATATTGATGCTGCTTATGAGAACTTTGTGCAAGATAACATTTTCCTTTTTAAAGGTGAGTAATGAAAACATAATAATAATAATAATAATAATAATAATAATAATAATAATAATAATAATGATGATGATGATGATGATGATGATGATGATGATGATGATGATGATGATGATGATGATGATGATGATGATGATGATGATGATGGAAGGGACCTTGGAGGTCATCAAGTCCAAGGCAGGTAACCCTATACCATTTTGGACAAATGGCTGTCCAGTTTCTTCTTAAAAACTTCCAATGTTGGAGCATTCACCGCTTCTGGAGGCAGGTTGTTCCACTGTTCTAACTGTCAGGAAGTTTCTCCTTAGTTCTAGGTTGCTTCTCTCCTTGATTAGTTGCTTCTCTCCTTGATTTATTGCTTCTCTCCTTGATCTCCTTGCCTTTACTGCCTTATAAATTTATCAAGACTTGCTCTTACCATAGGGGGGGGGGGAGTTGTTAGGAAAAAAAGGGGATCCTTTGTTTGTTCAATAAACCAATGTCTACTTTGTTAGTCTTTTTTTTTTTTTAGGTTATTCTATCTAGTGTTTCTTAATTGTTCTTCTCTTAGGAACTCTTTCCACATTTAAAAATTATGGAGGACCCCAAAAGAGCTTTTGTTTATCTGGGTTATATTTATCAATATTTATCATATTAACAATTAAAAAATGAAGCATTCATTGTCGCTACTACTTGTCAACTTGTTTGATGGGCTTTTAAAACTGTGGTGAATGAAGGCGAATATACGCGTCCCAGAATAATATTGCAGGATCCAATCTGGGTCAGTCACCGGGGAACTTTTCTCTAGCGGAGTGTGTATTTTAAAATTGTATTATTTTTTTTAACATAGGCTGGGAAATAATTTTGGTTTGGTGGATCTTTGATAGGGCCTTGGGGGAGGGACCCCCAATGGACTTAGAACCACATGTTAAAAAGCACTGGCTTATGCTAAGTCATACAACCTAGTAACTGGTTTCAGTGATCATATTAAGCCAAAAGCCAAACACCCACACACACACACACACACTTCACATTATGGTTTACTACATTGTCTGAATTTATCCCAGTTGGTAAATTATTCAGAACTACTCATAGCCTAGTCTGACTTTGTGCTGGCACTTCTTTAGTGTGACTGGAGGGCAGATAACTCAGTTCTTGTCTTCTCCTGCGCTCCCTCTGCCTAATTTTCCAGCTTGTCTTCTGGTTTTTCTTTGCATTTTATCAAGATAGCTCCGCTGGCAATGCAGAACTGAATTTCAGCCTGCCGAAAAGATCTAAGCCAGATCCTAACTCCCTACAGCTGCCACTTTTTTTTTTTTTTTAAGTTAGGATGGTGTCAAATCCATAGAGAACAAAGGATTCCCCTTCCTTCCTAACAAGTATTTATTGCTAGAAATAGACATACAGACCCCTGAGCTGTGAATGCCCATGTATAGAATTTGGAGCGTCTAAAAAAGCTTCAGCTTTCTTTTAAAACTAGTATCCGGTTTCTCCAGATGCTGCATGTAACAGTGGGAAACATGACAAGGCTCAGAAGTGATCATTTTTTTCAATATTGAAATAATAATTTTCTTAAGCAAACTTGAGGAAAGCCTAACAGTATCAAAAAATATAATTACATTTAATATTACTCCGTCTCTTTTTAGGAAACAGATATTGGGTTGTAAGTGGATATGATATAATTGCCCAGGCTCAAAGCATTTACAGATTGGGATTACCAAGAAATGTGAAGAAAATTGATGCTGTATTCAGTGATCCAGAAGCTGGGAAGACCTATTTTTTCATTGGGAACAAGTATTGGAGGTATGGCTCAGTGTTCTGTGATCTTAATATGACTTGCTTACTATGTGGTTAGTCTTGAGATATTAATCTTTAATAAGCAATATTTAATTGAAATGTAGTATATAATAGTGTGGCAGTAAGATGATAAACAAAAGAGGTCAAAATCTGCAAAATGGTGGCCATGCACTGCGATCCAAGCTCAAGGCCTATTGTACACGATAGAGCAGTGGTGGCGAACCTATGGCACGCATGCCAGAGGCGGCACTCAGAGACCTCTCTGTGTGCACGCTCGCCGTGCCCCGGAAATGGCAACCGTCCCTCTTCAACCAACTGCCCACTAACTCGCCGAGGTCCCACATGGGTGGATGCATCCCAGCACCCATGCGCTCACTGGCCTCTGTGTGCAAGGGCCGATGGTGTCAGGCAGCAGCCGCCCCAGCCCCTGCCTCACCTTGCCTTGTGACAATGGCACCTCCGCCCTGCCTCACCTTGCCTTGCCTCACCCCACAGGATGAGCCTCCTGCCCACCGCCCCACCTGCCAGAGACCCCCTGGATCTCCCCCAACCCTGCCCGGCCCCCACAGGCGTCCCTCCCCATGAGCAATATTGAGGTGATCACACCCACCTTGGCCACACCCAACCAATCTGCCATAACCACCACAGCCATGCCCACCCAGTGGGCCACGCCCAGCTGGCACCCGGCGATAAATAAGTGGGTTTTGGGTTGCAGTTTGGGCACTCGGTCTCTAAAAGGTTTGCCATCACTGTGATAGAGCATGAAAGTATAACATAGATTTCCCTTGACTAGCAACATCTGCTGCTGATCCAATCAGCTTCTATCCTGGAGTAACACAACATGCTAGAGATTCTCATGTTTCAGTTCTGCTTACATTGATATGATCATGTAAAGCAAAGTATATTTCCCATAAGGTTCTTTTAATGCCCAGTACAAATGTGTGAATATTCTGCTTGAATATTTGATTGAAAGTAAATGCGGTTGAATTTAATCAGGTTTTTTTTTTTCAAAGCAATCAAGCAAATAGAATAAAATCACGAGTCTCCAAATCTTCTGAGTAGAAAAAGAGTTCCTTATTTGATTCTGAAATCCAAACAGATTCAGTAATTCAGTTTGGATATGCAACTCAGTCAAATCTGGAAATCCAAACTGAATCAGATCACAAATCCAAAGCAACAAATGGAAACAGATATTCCCTGATTTGCCCACTCTTCATACTTAATATTGGAACAAAACCCTACCGCTTCTTAATCTCTTCTTCCATTTGAGCCACTTCCAATGATGGCATTAAGCAAAGATGACTGGAGATAAGAAAGGAATATCTCAGGGGCTGCCACAAAGAAGAGGGAGTCAAGCTATTCTCCAAGGCGCCTGAAGGCAGGACGAGAAGCAACGGATAGAAACTGATCAAGGAGAGAAGCAACTTAGAACTAAGGAGAAACTTCCTGACAGTTAGAACAATTAACCAATGGAACAACCTGCCTCCAGAAGTGGTGAATGCTCCAACACTGGAATTTTTTAAGAAGAGACTGGACAGCCATTTGTCCGAAATGGTATAGGGTTACCTGCCTGAGCAGGGGGTTGGACTCGATGACCTCCAAGGTCCCTTCCAACTTTATTATTATTATTACTTTCTATTTGCCAGTCCTTTCTTGGAATAACAGTCTGAATCTTGACTAGCTCCTACTCATTCAAATGTCTCTCCCACTGTCATTTTTATCATTTGAAAAGATACCAGATTGGACTCAGACTGTTGAATGAATCTATTTTCCACTGAAATCCACTGGACTTTAAGCATGATTAACTTCTTTAGTGGGAACTAAATCCAGCCATCTTCCCCGGACCTTTCCCACAGTTCTTAATGGCAGGCAGCAGTTTTAATCCTACAGCTGTCATCATAATCCAAAAGCTGTGATTGATTTTCATGATCCAGAGGATGACTGATTCTCTGCACCTTCTTTAAAAGTACTGCAACTGCTAAACATCCGAAATTTGGAAGTGGTTTTTGAGAACACTTGGCTGAACTTCTCCAGCATGGGAACTTTGAGATGTCCAGGCAATATCAGGACTGTAAGATAATAATAATAATAATAATAATAATAATAATAATAATAATAATAATAATAATAATAATAATAATAATAATAATAATAATAATAATAAAGTTGGAAGGGACCTTGGAGGTCATCGAGTCCAACCCCCTGCTCAGGCAGGAACCCTACACCATTTCAGACAAATGGCTGTCCAGTCTCTTCTTAAAAACTTCCAGTGT